TCAGCAGGGAGGAGGAACAGTTTTGACAGAAAAATCCATTTAACAAAATAAAAACAGCAGAATGAAGAATTTAAAGCAATAACTAAATCTGAAAAGCTTCCTAATGGTTTGATAATGCTCAAAAAGAAAAATCCCTGGAGGAAATGTTTCTTACATGTGGTTTATTTCACCATCTTTCAGGAACTTTGACTGTCTAAGACTTTGGGTACAATAGCTGAGGATGTTATGCCATTAGGTTACAGAACTGTGTAGGTGCAAGGATTACTGTTGAAGTCTGAGTAATTAACAAGTTGTTCAAAACCACTGAAGTCTCTAAGTCTGGAGTTACTCAGAGATAGTGTGAACACTAGAAATGTCCTTCAAAGAGAGTAATGCATCTTTAGGGAGGGGCATTTGTTGTAGGGAAGATTAGACACGGCCTTTGCCCAGGACAAAATGGCCCTCAACATTAACAGCCCAGAGTCAAAGTACCAAAGTCAGTGTTATTTGAGAAACTAATCCCACAGTGAAATTGGGTGTTACATTTCTGCCTTTTCACTCTTTAAAACCCTTGCCCTGAGCTCTCATCACTAAGCACAAAAGCAAAGAAATGGGTTTGGAGCTCTGACTTAACTAGTGTCAGCTCAACGCTATGATAATTAATAATAACACATATCCAATGACCATTTCTGCCCGTAAGTCATGAATTGATTATAAAGATTTCACCAGTTTAACCTGTTATTTTAGGTATGTCTAGACTTGGCCAAATCTGTGAAGTCTGGAAATACTTGAGCTAGTTCCAGTGTTAAAAGCTACAGGAGTGAGGAGCAATTTTTGAGTAAGGAGGGATTTTCAGGGTAAATTAACTATTTCAGGTCTCAATATGAGACTTTTTCTAACCCCCAAAATACTCTTGCTATCCCAAATACTCTTTCTATCCCAAAATATCCTACAGCATGCCAAGAACTATAATCCGTAATTTACCATAACGTACCCATAATTTTCCTGTGCATTCTCCCTTGGAATACTGAGTTTGTGTCTCATCACTGAGCTTTCACTCATCAGTTACAGGATACATTTTGTGAACCGAGGGATGAACACCAGGATTTTTTCAGTGCAGTGATCAGTTTTATAGATTACTGATCATAATCTGATATACTAAGAGCCAGGGTCTGGTCATTTCTGTTTGTTAGGATTTTGCGCTGCTTTGTGTTTAGTAACTCGTATTACCTTTAAAGAATTAGCTTTGAAAAGAGCATTTGCAGAATGCATTCTCAAAAAAAGGTAGCTGATAGATATGCAATCCCTAAAACAGACTCTTCAACATCTCTGCTTTTCCTGAACTTCCCTCAAGACCTTTGTTGCCTGGTACATTTATAATCTACAAATAAAATAAAAAGTTTTAATATTTTAAGTAACTAAATCAGTCTTTTGTTATAATTCCATGATCATGATCCATGCAGATGCTCATGTTAACAGGAAACATTTTCACTCCTAGCCAAAAACTTCCTGCCATAGCTAACAAACACCAATTTCATTTCACCTACTTTTGTAAATAGAATGCACATCTTGCTGCCACAGCAACTCCCAGCCTACAGATATCAAGGGCCCTGGCTAGTAAGGAGTTGCAGACTTTTCAATATTTTACTAAGTACTATTTCTTCTGGTAACAAACAGACAGGTGTTGGCCATCCTCAACGTGGCACTCAACAACCACGACATGCACAAGACACTTTTGAACCTCAGGAGGAGAAATGCATGAGTACAAAGAGAGACAGAAAGTGAGAGGAGATAAGAGAAAAATGATTAGTGTAATTTTTAACCATCAGTCATTGTGGGACTCCCCAGTCTAAGGAAATTCTGAATTTAAAAGAATTCAGAATTTGAATTGGATTGAACCTCTCAAAGTACCTTTAACATTCACATTTTCACTACTGCTAGGTTTCTTTGATAGTCATTTTATACCACTGCTCATCAATGGAAAATATGGTGTGACGTACAAGCTACAGAATATTGTCCAAAATCTGGCAAAATAAGGCCTCACATCAAAACGTAAGAACTTTTTTATCATACTGTAGAATCCTGAGCAAATTTTAGTCCACTTCTGAGCACTCATTATTTATCCAAAGGGGTGTCTTCTGCCAGACCTCACCATGAGGGGTTCTCCTTCTGGAGAAGGTCCTCACAGCACTTCTCCTGTGGTCCTTTCAGTATGTCATGCCTTCACCCTCTGGATACCTCGTTTTCCCTGTGAGACACAGAGTCACAGGGCTGCAAAGTTTGTTTTGCCCTGTTTCATATGCTTCTTGACTGAACAGCAGCTAGTAAGGGGTTAAGCTGAAAGCAGGAAGCCACTGCCGCCCCGGCAGAAAGATTGATTTGATCATTCTTCAGGGATTCCCTCTTGTATGAGTCACTGCTCAGACTGACACCCCCACCAAAAGAGGCCAGGATAATGCCATTTCTCCAGAGACTACAACAGCTGAGGGCTAGCCCTGAAGACAGAAAGCCTGGGACTCATGCTTGGAAAAACATTCAGCAGACCACAATGCACTCAGCAGACTTAGGAAAACTGGGGGGAAAAAAGGCAAACAAAAAGTGTTCTCCAGCTCCTTTCGTTATCCAATTAAGTATGCAGACTAGGAGGAATTAGACAAGCTCCAGGAGACTGCCTCCCAGCTTGGGGACTCTGTCTGAGTAAGGACTGAATACATGAGTTGACGTAGTACAATATTTAAATTTTATACAAAAGATGCATTCTCTTTATAAGCACAATGATCTATTACTTTGATCTATTACTCTGTAATAGCTGTGTTTGGCTGCAACCTACTAGGAATGTGATTAACATTCCAAATTCAAAAACAAAAGTGGTAACAGCAGCAAAATAAATTAATGTCTCCAGCTACTCACAGAGGTTCATAACCAGTGCTCTAAGAGAAAGAGAAACTATGCTGGTGCTCCTTCTCTTGACCTACTTTCACTGATTTTCAAGAGCTGAAAGAAACACCCCATGCTGATTTACAAAAGTGAAGGCTGCTAATGCTTGTTCATTAGCCATTAAATACAGTGACTCTTCAAAAATCCAGCCAGAGCAGTCTGCCACTAAGGTAATGATAAATCGCTCTTGTTTACTTCTGATGCACTGAGCTGTGTGAGGCAGCATAGCACACAAGCCATGGAAGCCTTAAAAATTGCTCAGCCCAGATTAGCCAGCAGCTTTGCTTTTTTTGTGTCATTTCTACTGACACAACTATTGCAGCTCCTGGAGATGCTACACTCTGACTCTAAGGGCTCAGCCCCTGCAGGCTGTACTGCCCTGCAGCAACTGTAACAAACCTACAGTGAGACTACTAAAAAAAGGCAGGACCTTAAATTCTGTAATTGAAAGCTATACCGTGAATATCCTGCTTTTAGTGTACCTAATGTAGTATAGGAATATAGGAGTAGGGAGACAGTGTTCAGATTCACGCTATGGTAACACACACAGCAAACAGCATCACAATCATAATTCTTCAGAACGCAATACTTACAAATTTTCCAACTCAAAAAAGGAAGAGGAAAGGAAATAAGTATTAAGGAATGTGGTTTAATGTGGTTTCCTTCTTGTAATGAGACAGATTGAGGTCTCCTGACATGTCACACTGACCCAGTTCTCTGCAGCAAAGGAAGTTTAAATTAAAGTAGACATTAACTTTCTTCCCCCCCTGGGGGGAATACAGAGAACAGAATTAAGTTTTTTTCAATTCCTATTTTTTAAAAAACTTTCTTAAGAAACAAAAAGGATGTTTCTGTTGATGTCACAGTCACATCCCCACTGTGTGTGCTGCAGTGCTTGGGGTTAACAGAAACGTGCCAACTGGCTCTCCCCAAGAAGCCAAGGCATTACATCTGCCAAGGCACTTCTGGCAACTTAAACCTCATCAACCCAGGATTCTGTTCGGGAATTTCAGGGGAATCTTCTGCTTTTGTCCTGAGCTTGCTGAGCCCAAAGACTTGGGTGTCTTTGCCTCTGGAGCCTCCCCTGCTCTCCCTGCCACCCTGCCTCATGGCCCAAGTTCCTGTGGTGCCAGTAGGAACTATGGGCAGGAGAGCAGCGTGGGAACCTCGTGGACATAAAGGGTTAAACAGGTGCAGTGTCAAAGCTGGTGCAGGCGGCCTGAGGAGTGCCCAAGATTGTTTTAAGTTCGGGGTGGGGGTGGGGGGCTCAGCCGGCAGCTGAGGAATTCATAGCTTGTGCCAGCGCCAGGGAAACCCTTTCCAAAACAAGACTCAGAACTATCCTTAGCAGTCTTGTTTCAGAGCCTGACTTTGACTCCCAGCTCCACTGCTCCCTGCTTATATTCGCTTATTCCCGCGGGGGGCATTCACACCCATTAGGCACTGTCTCATGTCACTGTGATCCACCGCTCCTGCATGCACATCCTGCCCCAGATCCCACTCCATGTCATTTTCCCTATTTCAGCCTGGCCTGAGACTCTTCTCCAGGAGAACCAGTCCCACCACCAAAGCACCTCAGGAGCAGTGCTGGGCGAGGGGAAGTTGTGTTCAGTGCTTCCCTCAGTCCTCGAGGCAAACCTGTCCTTCAAATGAATGTATATGCTCCAAACCCTCCTCAGCCAGCGCCTTTTAAATGCTACAGGAGACAAAGGTGCACACACACTACCAGCAGCACAAATTACAGAAATGTTTAAGAAAGATGCACTGTACTGCAGGTTTAGGGGACATGGCACCAGAGATTTGGAACCCTTCTCACAGGTCCTGCCTGTTACACTCATAGTTTGCTACAATAAACAAATGCCAAAGGTTGACTTTCAATGTCTCTATTGTCTACCTGTAACTACAGTTGTCACAGTGTGAAATCTCAGCATTAGTCACGGCTCAGATCCTTTCCACAGCTTTGTCCAGTGACATGGAAAACGTATTATGTGCAGAAGAAAATGTCATTACCATATTTGTGCTTTCATCATCTGACACAGACAGGGTCGGGGGGGAAGACAGATTGGAGTCTAGAAAAGACATACCTGGAGCTTTCTCCACAAAGATGACTTTGGAGTCTTGCAGAAAGTTATGACCAGTCAGTACCATTTTTTTCCCTCCAGTAACAGGAAAACTGTCGGTACTTTGCTTCTCCACCAGAGGCAGTTCTTGGGCAGATCTCTGAGCTAGAGAGTTATAAAGAAGATTAAAAACAAAACAAAGAAAATCAAAACAAATCCAAAAAAAAGGCAACCACGAACACACAAAAAAGTAAATTCTTCATTAGTAAGTAACTTAATGCTTACCCTGGTAAGATAAGCTAAGTTTGATACAGAAACAAAGAAAGGTTACAAGGTTTACAGGAAACATGGTTCATTTTCCAGTGCTTTGATTGTAAACAATAGTGTTAAACAGCAGAACAGATTCAAAAGACTCACAAAGAACAAGTGTTTTAAAACTCAGCTTGATATGTACTTTATCAGAAAGTGTATTTCTATGGAAATTAATTTATTTTAAATAATTTTCTCTCACTCTGTGTCTAGCATATATGCTGTGTGTTTACAAGGCACTCATGAAAGGTAATCACACATGTCCAAAATTAATTTCAGTCAATATACACCCTATTGTCAATTCTGCAAACTGTTTTGTAGCAGCAGCAGCAGTCATGGCCTTTGTGATCCAGTAGCAGCTCACACTTTAGAGAGAGTATTTCCAAGTGAACCTGAGCGCCCAAGCACATGTGGATCCATGTAAACTGATTCTGGTATTCTTGTGGCACAAATTTTATCCCCCTTCAACTGTGGGAGATGACAAGAGTGCTGCTTCAAGGAACGATGTGACATTTTATCCAGATTATATGGTTCCTTCTGGTGTCACATGCACTAAGAAATATATGAAGTTTTTGGCACCAGCTTATTCCACATTCTACACTAGAAATATCACTAGCACTTATTTTTTTCTCCTCTTTTCCACTTCTTTCAGCAGGCATGTTCCATGCTTTTGCTCATTACACAACACGCAAAGCTGCAGTACCCTGACACAAATCCAATCAACTTCACATTCAGTGGTTCCTTGAGCTTGGCACCTTTGCACAGACCAGCTAAGGATAGATTCAAACTGTGCCTTATCCTCCTGCGTAGCAACTGAAAAGCTCTCATAAACTTCAATTGCAGGATGAAACCATGACTCCTCATATTTTTTGCTTTGCCCTCCAGCAAGAATGGTCAGGTCTTCCTCCCTATTCCCTCTGCCAGAGACCACCTCTCACACACCTGCCAGATATTAAGTTCCCCCCCTACTCTGTAAGCATCAGAAAGTTCCACTTTTGTGGATGGAATTCGACAAAACCTTAAAAGATTATTTCAGTCTGTCCAGCCAATCAAAATAGCATTGGGAGTTAGAGTGAAATTCAGCTTCCACCACTTATGCCGGATTGTTAAAGCTGCACAAAGCATTTTGTTTTGTGTGGGGGATGCTGATGAGGCTTAGAGAGCAGAAATTATATAGGTATCCTTGAAGGGTGTCCCAGTGTATCTGATAAAATACAATCTGTTCATTTAAAGAGACCCAGACCTGGGTTCTGGAGGTTTTCTGAAGCTGCAGGCTCATCAGTGTCAGCTCTAGTATATTGCTAGCTCCTCATGAAAGGGGCTGGGGTTTTGTTTGCAGGTTTTTTGCTTTATGATAGGGAAACAGAGTGAACAGGACATGAGAGATGTTTTCCAAAACTTCTACAGCTGTTACCTTTATGATAAGAAGTCACCAAAACCAAAGGTCCTTTCACTCCCAGGTCTACTATTAGTTTAACTGTTCTTTACTTGTAAGTGTGTGTTTTCCTACAGCACTCAATGCACAAAGCTACAGATTTTTTCCTAAGGCACAGATATTCTGTTCTTGATGTAAACCATGTACTTTTGGAAAGCAGATTAAAGTTCACTAAGTAGACAGGTGAAACAAAACCAATGTAGAACATATTGGCGTGAACAGACTGCATGTGGGGCAGAAGTGTTAAAAACTGTTCAAAAGGTGTGCAGACATGGCAGTGCTGAGTTAAAAGTGATCTTAGACATCTTTTTCAACCTTATTGATTAAAAGATTTTATAATAATATCCAGCAAAAGGAGGTTGTTTGTTGTTACTTACAGCACTCAATGGGGTTGGAGGCTACTTGCAAGGAGAGGGTCCTGCCATTTGCCTGTGGGATATGAACTCTGAAGACCAGACGCACACGTGTGTTCTTCCGACCGATGTCTGTCTCTCCCTTGCGCAGCTCGATGTCAGAGTTTCGGAGCTTTAATATCCCAGCACAGTCGATGCTATTCAAAAGGAAACACAGGGCAATTCAATTCACTTCAAGAAGACTTCAGGAAGACAGGAGAGTGCAATATCTTCCCTCTCTCCTGCATGCTCTTCTTAAAAAACTGCCCAATGACCAGGCTGAATGCAACAGACTTTGTTTAGTACTTGCACTCCCAAGCAGCTTAGTTGGAGCTATCAGTAGCAGCAGGTGGTGGCTGCTGTAAAGCACACAAATTTTGGATGTTATCTTGGTTCTCAGAGGAAGAAAATCTAAAAGACCCTTCCTCCCCAACACATCCTATAAGGACTGTAGATAAAGATTTACCAAAGCCCAAAGAAACAGCAAGACTAGGAAAGCCAGTGGGATGTGACAGCAGTGCAGAAACTGCTACTAACCTAGAATGACAGGCGACTTTCAATTTTACTTGTTACAGCTGATTTGGACAAAAATCTGACAAGATTTTCAATCTAGGGAGAAGTCCTGAAATTCTTATTAATGAGCACAGCCCTCCCTGAGGTCAGTTCTACTGTCAATTTGTTTGTATTTCAATGAGTTGGAAATACTCCCAAGCTGAGTGCTGAGCTGAAGCTCTGCATGAAAAAAAACTAAACTCAGAGTCTTCTCCACACATTAGTGAAAAACATGCTTCTCATCAGACACAACTAATACCATTTCTGACCTCATTCTCTTTTTTAGGTTTTTTAACTTTGGTTTTCTCCTGGATGAGTTTACGAGTCAGGATTTTTGTCAAATATTTTAACAGAAGAAGCTCCCAGAGCAAAAGACATATAAACATATGCACTCAAAAACCCACTGCAAAAATACCTCTGCCTTGACCATGACTACAAAGGCTACATGATAACTTCTGGGTACTGGTCTCTGGCATGCAGTTTATTACATTGAGTATGCGTAGTTAACTTTATTTTGCATTCAAAGAGTTCAATTCCCCTTCCAGACCTTTGAAGCTCTGTTCTGAAGCAAACTGTAAATAAGCATAATGGCAGCATGGTTTTGATCTGCATTTTTTCTGAAGTATGGATTTCAGAATTTAAAAAATGCCCTTGCTGATACGACCAAAGAAACAAATGGAAGTATTTAAGATTCCCAACAATGCATATTAGCAGGCGAAGCCGTAAGAATTACAGAGTATTTGTACCCATGTCAAAATTCTATGCAAAGATCCGTAAGATATGGGAGAAATGGTGCATTTCTCCATTTTGTCTCTCCTATAGCAACACTTGTAAATTGAATAATTATTGACATATAATTTATATCCAAATGTTCAGACAAGAAAAAGTACTTAAATTCAAACTTGTAAAGTCATGGATATTAAAATCTGAAGTCAATGGGAACAGCTAAATGTGCAAATGTTTAAATGGGCGGATGAGCTCTGGTGTTTCACTGAATCAGGGCCTGAACACATAAAGTGTGAGAAAAGTCTTTGGCTCCAAATTTGAATTCATTTGTAGTGCTACATGAGATTTTAGACTGCTGACATGTAAAGTATATATATGTGCCAAAGCATTGTGATCCTTGAGTGAGCTGTACTACAGTCTGGTACCCATGCCACAAAAATACTCAGATTGGCTCCCAAACTGTGTAACTTACCTTTATTTTGGGGAGAAAGATGAATGAAATTGTAATAATGTTCCTAGATGGCCAAAAACATGGTTCAAACTGGATAAATAAAGTGCCAGATAAATACTGCATGAGTACAAACTGGTGAAATGTCCTTAACCCCAAGGTAGGTGCACCAACTTACAATGGTGGCAAACAGGGCCAAAAATTTTGAAAGCTTGTTGTGACTTTTAACACAATGCCCTGAGAGAGATCCTCAAGGTCTTGAGTGATCACTCTAAGTCCAGCTGGCAATGCAGCTAAACATATTCTGGCTCTTCTGTTTACATGAGGCACTCCAGGGCGTGCTGTACATGACACTGCAAAACGGCTTCTAATAACCACTGTGTGTGGAAGGACTTTAGGTGTCTGATAGCATTTTCCACTTTGTTAAGGCATAGAAAAACAAGGAGTGATATTGTGATTTTCCCATGATATTTGGTTTGGTGGAGGTCAGGATTTCTCGCTTTCTATCTTCCTGTATATACACACACATAGGTGCATGCAACTATATTAAAATATGAATACATTTATATTTATACACACACACACACACACCAAGAGCTGTACTTGCACGCAAGCACATAGAAATTCCTTCCAAGGCAGACAGCTCAGATAATGGTTAGGATGATTTGAATGAGGGGGGACACAACTCAGATGAGGGGCTAGGTTGATTTGAGGGAGGGGTACAGAGAGGACAGGATAAAATAGTGTAGAAGGTATAATGTATATCACTTACACAGAAGGCTATTTTAACCTTTATATATCATCCTATAACAATGTTTATAGTTATTTAATGGACCTACAGGACACTTAATTATCCTAAGATATCCATGCCTGCTTTTCTGCTTAGCACTAAACTTAGCCCAGTTTAACAACTCAATCTGTAAACTGCATCACCTTCTTAGTTCTGGAAGATTTGCTTGTAAGCAAGTGCCATGAAAAATGCTGAGTTTTATTATGTGAGAAATGAACGGTTTTATTCCTCTCAGAAAATACCTCAGAAAAACCACAAAGGTACTTGGAAATGCTCTCTAAGAGTTTCCTCTGACATCAAAAGATAAATTTTAATCAGCTCTATTCCTTGTGCTAGTGCGTATAGGAGCAACAGGTGTCATATTTAGAAACTAAATGCAGGAGCTGAGGTAGGAGATATTTACAGCTCAGTAACTGAGATACTTATTTTAAATGGCAAATAAGCACATTAGCTGAAACTCTAGAATGAAAGCAAATCAGTTGTCATAAATATTTGTGCAGTTCGTTTTGCTGTTAAGCTGATTAGCGGCAATTTGTCTCAGCAAAGTTTTGAAAACCTACTATTACAGAGAGAAATGTGGGGAAAGAAAAAAAAAGATAGGGAAAAGAAAATTGCGTACAAAAAGAAAGAAAGAAACCCCAAAGAAATTAAGTGAGGTGACCAAGATGAAACTGTTAGGAGTCAGACATGGTGCCTTGGTCTTACATTGCTCTCATGTTGTTCTCTGGAAGAAGTGGAATTTCCAGGACTTTGGTGTTGGAAAGTATTGTTTCATGGCTGGTGGTGGAAACGGTCTTGCCGGTGATCCGGTGAACCTGGTAGAAGGCATGGGGTCGCAGCAGGCGGTCGTCTGCAGTCCCAATGAACAGCTGCAGCGTGAGCGGCTCGCTTTCTAAGTAACCATGGAGCTGGCAAAAGAACAGAAAAGGCCCACTGAGCACCATGCACATAAACTGCTAGGAATCAATTAAAGTTTTATAAGCAGGAGAGCCTAATTCAAGGAGAGAACTTGTGACAGGTGCTATGTGTTAAGTTCCCCCCTTCCATTTTTCCTGTAATGTAATATTGGTACAATAAAAAGGTGCACTCACAAAATGTCTCATTATCCTAAAGGACCCGAGGCACTTTAGATGGGCTGAGCTTTTGAGTACTCCTGCTACATCCGTAGAAAACTTTGCATAAATTCTGCTGCAGTGTTCAGCAGAAAAACACAATAAACTTGATGTTTCTTCATAGTACTGAAGGATGCAAAACTGACAGTTTGTAGATGGAAAGGACACAGCTTACCCATCCCAATGCTTCCTTGGACATCCCTCATGCAGCAGCAGTTTGCTGCTTGTGACCTGTACCCTCATTAACTGATTTTTATGCTGGTAAATACCTCCTGGGACAGCATGGAGAGAGATCACATATACATGATTAGCAGCTTACCATGTGTGTCAAATTCTTGTTATAATCACACAAAAATCTCATTGAAGCTCTTGGGCCTGGGTTGAACCTCATCCACATTACAGTGACTGCTCTGATGACAAGAGTTATTTCTGCCACAGGATGCGGAGGAAGCAGAGCCTGACCTCATCCACACCATCTCCTGTAGAAGCTACTCGTGGTTCCCACTGCTCTGGAATCCCCAGACAACGTCCCACTTGTGGCTGCCACCTGGCATTGGGAAATTAGTCTCACAAAAACAGTTATCTTACAGGGGTTAGTGGTGAAGACTTGTCCCAAGGGAAGGGAGGATGTAGCAACTATAGGAGAGAGTAATGTGGGCAAGGTGCACTGTCCCAGGAGATGCCCCACCCTAGAGCAAACCTGCTCACTTTGTTGTAGGTTTAGGTTCCTCTCTGAATAGTTCAGGTGGGTTTGGGCGTGAGTTATTCACCATCACTGAATATGGCAGCTCAAAACTTACCATAATTTGGTAAGGAGCAACACTAGTTTTAAGGTAGATGCAAGTTCAAAGCTAAATAAAGCTAAAAGCAAATGGTGAAACCCATATATCAAATGTTGCTTATATTTGTATTTTGTCTATTTTCACTCTCCTTAAATCTTACAAAGCAATTTCATGTTATCTCTCTAGGGTATTTTACCATCTGATAGCAGGAATGCTATTAAAAACAAAGATCTTGAATCACTTTTACTCCTTGAGCCCTGCAAAATTCTGGTGGGTGCTAACAGGCCCAAAGCCCTCTCTCCACTATCAAATATTGTGAATGGCAACAGCAATTCATAGTGGCAAAGTTTCAGGTACCACAGTGACCAGCGCATGAGGAAGGAAGGATGATGAGCCCAGACACATCTTCCATCACCAATCGAGCACACTGTAAATTTTTCATTTTTCACCCCACACTTTTTTCAGAAAAGCAAAGAGAACGGAAGCATTTTTTGTTTGATTTGATGCAGCATTTTTTACATCCTTACCTATAGCATGTGAATGCTGGAAGGATACAGTGATAGGAGGAGGAAAAGGCTCATTTCTAGCCTTTCTACACTATTTCATCAGCTCTGCATTCCTGAGACATCATACGAAGGCAGCTCAGAGCCAGGGGATTTTGACATGTTTGATATGATATGATTGATATGATATGACATGACATGACATGATATGATATGATATGATATGATGGTTTCATGCCAGCATTGTAAAATTGGAAACACATCAGTGGCAGTTTGAAAATCTGCACTATCACCAAAACAACAGAGTGAGAAAAGCAGAGCTATGTCTGTACACTGCCTTCAGGAGGATGCCATGGGCTGTGAATCTCCCTCCAGCTCCACATGGAACACCCACTCCTATGGTTTCTGACACACATGTCAGCGTTATGCTGCAAAAAATGAGATTCCTGGTTTTCTCCCCTAGAGAGAGACATACAGCTTGAGCTGCAGGTGGGTGATCAAAGGTGTGTTCCTGGTACAGTCAGTGACCGCAGGGAAGCTATTGTCCTACTCATCACCACCCTGCTCCCCCAGCATGACAGCCTAGCTGCTCATTAATTCAAAAAGTGTGTGAGCAGGGCTGGTAGAGTGACCTGGATTTGTCCCAAGCTGATCTTCCCTGCCTCACCACTTCCAGAGCCTCAGCAGCAAAGTTTAGGTAAGGGAGGAGACACAAGGTATCCCAGGATATTTTTGGTCAAGACCAGCACGTGGGTTTGCAGGAGGAAAAGTAAGACAGTGTGACATGCCAGGCAAATAAATTTCTATGCATTGCCAGCGGTCACTTCTCCAAGTCGTCATGGAGGATGCTTTTTATGGAGAGTGTAAAATTAAAACAAACACATATTGAGTTACAAGGACACTTAAAATGTAAAAATAGACTAGCGAGTAACTCAAAACTCAATTCAGCAAAAGCAAATTGCACACAAAGGTACCCATATGTTTTACTGAATACAGTCAAAGAGGACTAAAAATGTTGGTCTTGCATTGGGTTCTGCTATTTCAGGCTTTATCTTTAAATCTGAACTTGGCTGTTGCCATAGTTTGTAACCTACTGCTGAGCCTCAGCTTGTGCTTTTCCCACAGGTTTCCTATCAGGAGGCAATCAAACACCCATGGTCCTCAGTTTTGCACACCTGCCTTCCCCTGAAAAGTGTTCACATGCTGGAAAATAAATAATGAGATCTCAGTTGTGTGTTTTGCATTGTTTTTTAAGGTTTGTAATTGTCAAGCTAAATTTGTGTTTGCTTTTTTTAAGGCCATATCCTAGAGCCATACTTTATTTTGGATCTATTACCCAAAGTCACTCACTCCCCCACTTAGAAAGTGCCAGAAACATCCAGAAAGACTCATGTAATTGCTACATGCTAGATTTTGCTGCACTCAAAATACAAAAAATTCGCACTCGCATCACTGTAAGTTTTATGCCGTATTCTGTGTTAGGAAGCATCTGATATCTAATTTGTATTTTCCTTTTGAGCTTTACCCATTGCATCACATTATTTACTTTTATATTATGTCACATAATTGTGTATGCCAACAGAAGCAATAAAAGAAAGCGATGCAAGGATTAACATATAAAGGGGCACATACTGGGACTGACTTATTTTAGTCTGTGCACCCAGTGCATTATTTCTGTGACAGACAGTGTTGAGCCTCAAGAGTTTTCAGCATACGGCAGATGTCTGGTGAATGGGCAAGATCCTGCTTACTTTCAGCCGAGTGTAATAAGAATATTCCACTGTTCCCTGAAAACATGGGAGACAGGTTCAACAGTGAGGAGCAGCAGCAGTAAAAGCACCGGTGTGGGACTTTTGGCAGTTAGGTTTGCCAGCAGTCAAAGGGAATATCAAACAAGATCAGTGTAAAATGGGATAGGAAAAAAGGGTGACTGAGCATTTTTCTTGGTGAGGAAAGATCTCGCATATGCATATCCATGCATATTTTCCATGTATGCTCTGGGGTACTGTACTAGGTGGAAGAGCGATTTGGTTTCCTGGCGTACAACATGGGATGCATGCGTCAGACACCCTATTTTTATCTTTTTCTCTGTGTAACACAGTCCAAAGCTCTTAATAACTCAGCGGTTGAGCATGGGTGACAAAGGTGCTCTCAGCTACAGCATTCATAATAAAGGACATGTCTTTCCTACCAAGCATGCTTGGCTTGGCAATACATAGATCCAAGTGGAAAGAGGTGTACTTTCCCCTGCTGTGGAACTGTAAAAAGAGCTAGCTGCAAAAAAGGACCAGAAGCGCAACATTTCTGAATGAGTTTCCCTTCCCAAATAAAGGCAGTGATACAGTAGTCACCTGGTGCGGTACAAAGGAAAGATGCAGGAAAGACTTGAATATGCAGATAAAAACTGTGTGGCCAAGTGTTTGGATTTTAAATGAAAGTAGGTCATATTCTCTTGTTCTGACCAAACACTGACTATTATGCTCTTTCTTGTCTTTGAGTAACACTGTTAAAAATACTTGAACTCATCTCAAGTGACATTTTCATTTTTATTGTCTGAAGCTGCTAAGATCAAAATCAGATTTAATTGCAGGCCTGTTATACACTCCTCTAATTCTATCAAAAGCGATGCAGTCACTGGCAATTAACACCAGAATAGGACCGATCACAGCTAAGCTCTTCGTCACCTTACATCCTCTTACGCAAGAGCGAGGGAAAAGGCTGCACCAGCTGAGCCACCACATCAAGCCTTCCCTGGGATTCCTACACCTCTCTGTCATCACTTTCCCAGCACTATCTCCCACCAACATGTCTTGATTCTCACCAGTAAATTGCTGCTCATGTCAGTGCAGGATGCCAAAGCAAACTGCAGCCATTCCCCAAGGAGATGCAACTGTGTGCTGGGGCTGGATGTTTTCATGTGTCCAGATGCTGTGGAACTGAATGCCAGGAATCTTCCTCCAGTGGCCAGTGAAGTGTGAGGGAAACAGGGCTGTCACCCCTCACAGCCATGAGCAAGGTACTATCTGATTCAGCCCTACAGCTATGATGATCTCTGGTTTATCACAGATGTAAGCATACTGAGGCTGCCTGGATTCCAAATATCCTTCTGGTACACATCTATTAAATCTGCCAATTGGAATTGAACAGACTTGGAAAATGATAAGCAGAAGGAGATTAGGTTTGAACATAAGCACTAGGAAAAAACAAAAGCAAAACCTCCTTAAACCTTGCTACAGTTACTAAATTTTGAGGAAATTTTGCAAATGCCACATCCAATAACTCAAAACACTATTTCAGCTTCAGTGGTTATTCTACAGACAGTGAGGAAAACTTCTATTATTTAAGCCACGGCATTTATTTTAAGAAATGCTGTTGAAATATTCTGCACGTTCCCTTTCCAAGTGCTTTATGCTTTTGGCAGCCAAGCATCTGTTTAAATGCTCAGAAAGCTACCTGTCATAACAAGGAGGCCTCTGTCTGGAGAGGCTCCTGGAGGCCACAAAAGAATGGT